CTCTGCCGGCCTCCGGAGTTGATTTCTCTCCGCAGTTACGGTTTCCCCCCGGAATAGGGATGGTGGGTTGCTCCTATGTCATTTGGGCCAGGAGGGTCCCCAGCTGATTTTTCGGTAAAACAGCAGGGTTGTGGCGGGGGTATGTCCTTGCCAATTGAGTTTGAGGGGTTCCGTTTAAGTATATGGAATGAGATGAACACGTTTTTAAGGTCTCAACCTCCCCTGCTTCAAACGGTTAACATTAGGTTGCCCGAGGTGTCGTGCCCATCGAGCGTGGATAAGGTCGGCTGATGGCGGGCATTGGAAAGATATGATTTTATGACGAGGGGGGAGGTGAGAGGAAGTGGTGATTAGGATCACTGTATAACACTATGTGGGGAGTTATATATGTATATATGTTAATTTATGCTTATTTATGTCTAACGTTTTTGGTCTAACGTTTTTGAGATTTAATAAAGTTATGGATGTGTTATACAGTAATTTAGTTTGTGATAATAAATGCTGTGGCCTGTTTCATCCATACTAAGGGGTCTGTCGTTATTGGGGGGTTAAATGGGGCTAGTTTATGTATTAGGCTGCATCGCGATTCCCCACTACGTACATACATGTAACCAGTTACTCCCAGCACGTTTATATTAAACATCTTTAGATTTTTTTATATGGATTTACAGCTCTCCATTAATATTATTAACTAAAAGCAGGTTTTGATTGGACTCTTTTCTATGAATTCCATAAAACCAAACGATTTCTGTCACTATTCCTTCAATGAATCCCTTCTCATTCCTACCATTAAAACTTGGAATTCTGTTATGTTCAGTAATCTCTCCTCTTTCAGTCAATGTCACACTATATTGCTCCCACAATGAGAAATATGTTGTTTTGAAGAACATCGAAAGATTAATCAAGCATTGGATCCTGTACCTCTCTATGAGAAGCATTTGAATGGATGAGTAGTCAAAGAGGAATGAAGACGAAATGGGAACAGAGTGGTAGGCCTCACAGACTCGGTGATGGAATTAAAGGTAAGTAGGGGTTTATTTAGTGTGGAGCAGGAGGGTTGGCATTAAAAACGAAGACAATAAACAATTGGCATTAAAAATAGATTTCATCTATATCTCTTAGTATTCTTATCACTAATTTCATTCCCTTAATCCATCTCTTCCCTATTGATTCTCCCATTCTCTTCATTCCATACCCTTTCCTAGCATTCTCCTGTCCTCACTATAACCTTCTAATTCCTTTCTCTACACCTGCTTTCATTCATTCTCTTCCAATTAATATCTTTTCATTTGGAGTCCATCCTTTAATATTTCACCATAATGTACCTGTATATTCTGGACAGTTTGAATGGTCACTGCGAGTCACTGAGAATATGTTCTGGTGCCGAGCAGAAATAGGGTGTTAGGGCCAAAGCAGTCACTAGGAGGAGACATTGATCATTGCTGATTCAAAGTGTTCATTGACCTCTGATGGGGGATACAGTTAGAGTCTTCTACAGATTTTGGAATTTGTTCTGTTCTCAAACATCACATCTCTGGTTAATCAGTTCTTATGTTGGCGTGGTCCATTTAATGACAGCCTGATGAAGACCCTGCCCGAGATGGGATGGACAAGACAGGGAAAATAAATCCAGGACCTAGCACGAAACAGATGCCTTTTGAGTGACGCGTAATAAATTCGGCGTGACAGATGTGTGAGTCTCCCACACAATATTTACTCAGCTCTGCTCCTGCATTGAGTCAGGCCTGGCAGGAAGCCCTGTATATTTGTTAAAGGTTGCTGGATC